CAATCAGTCATACAGCCCTCGCTCCAGTTAGCGATCATCGGCAACTCTCTAGCCCCTTCTGCTATCAGTCGTACAGCCCTCGCTTCAGTTAGCGATCATCGGCAACTCTCTAGCCTCTTCTACTATCAGTCGAACAGCCCTCGCTCCAGTTAGCGATCATCAGCAACTCTCTAGCCCCTTCTGCTATCAGTCATACAGGCCTCGCTGCAGTTAGTGATCATCAGCAACTCTCTAGCCTCTTCTACTATCAGTCGTCCAGCCCTCGCTCTAGTTAGCGATCATCAGCAACTCTCTAGCCCCTTCTACTATCAGTCGTACAGCCCTCGCTTCAGTTAGTGATCATCAGCAACTCTCTAGCCCCTTCTACTATCAGTCGTACAGCCCTCGCTCTAGTTAGTGATCATCGGCAACTCTCTAGCCCCTTCTACTATCAGTCGTACAGCCCTCGCTTCAGTTATTGATCATCAGCAACTCTATAGCCCCTTCTACTATCAGTCGTACAGCCCTCGCTTCAGTTAGTGATCATCCGCAACTCTCTAGCCCCTTCTACTATCAGTCATACAGCCCTCGCTTCAGTTAGTGATCATCGGCAACTCTCTAACCCCTTCTACTATCAGTCGTACAGCCCTCGCTTCAGTTAGTGATCATCAGCAACTCTCTAGCCCCTTCTGCTATCAGTCGTACAGCCCTCACTTCAGTTATTGATCATCAGCAACTCTCTAGCCCCTTCTACTATCAGTCATACAGCCCTCGCTTCAGTTATTGATCATCAGCAACTCTCTAGCCCCTTCTACTATCAGTCATACAGCCCTCGCTTCAGTTAGTGATCATCGGCAACTCGCTAGCCCCTTCTACTATCAGTCATACAGCCCTCGCTTCAGTTAGTGATCATCGGCAACTCTCCAGCCCCTTCTACTATCAGTCGTACAGCCCTCGCTCCAGTTAGTGATCATCGGCAACTCTCTAGCCCCTTCTACTATCAGTCATACAGCCCTCGCTTCAGTTAGTGATCATCAGCAACTCTCTATCCCCTTCTACTATCAGTCATACAGCCCTCGCTCCAGTTAGTGATCATCGGCAACTCTCTAGCCCCTTCTACTATCAGTCATACAGCCCTCGCTTCAGTTAGTGATCATCAGCAACTCTCTAGCCCCTTCTACTATCAGTCATACAGCCCTCGCTTCAGTTAGTGATCATCAGCAACTCTCTAGCCCCTTCTACTATCAGTCATACAGCCCTCGCTTCAGTTAGTGATCATCAGCAACTCTCTAGCCCCTTCTACTATCAGTCATACAGCCCTCGCTTCAGTTAGTGATCATCGGCAACTCTCTAGCCCCTTCTACTATCAGTCGTACAGCCCTCGCTCCAGTCAGTGATCATCGGCAACTCTCTAGCCTCTTCTACTATCAGTCGTACAGCCCCCTCGCTTCAGTTAGTGATCATCAGCAACTCTCTAGCCCCTTCTACTATCAGTCGTACAGCCCTCGCTCCAGTTGGTGATCATCAGCAACTCTCTAGCCCCTTCTACTATCAGTCGTACAGCTCTCGCTCCAGTTAGTGATCATCAGCAACTCTCTAGCCCCTTCTACTATCAGTCATACAGCTCTCGCTCCAGTTAGTGATCATCGGCAACTCTCTAGCCCCTTCTACTATCAGTCGAACAGCCCTCGCTCCAGTTGGTGATAATCAGCAACTCTCTAGCCCCTTCTACTATCAGTCGTACAGCCCTCGCTCCAGTTAGTGATCATCAGGAACTCTCTAGCCCCTTCTGCTATCAGTCGTACAGCCCTCGCTCCAGTTAGTGATCATCAGGAACTCTCTAGCCCCTTCTGCTATCAGTCATACAGCCCTCGCTCCAGTTAGTGATCATCAGGAACTCTCTAGCCCCTTCTGCTATCAGTCGTACAGCCCTCGCTCCAGTTAGTGATCATCAGGAACTCTCTAGCCCCTTCTGCTATCAGTCGTACAGCCCTCGCTTGAGTTAGTGATCATCGGCAATGCCGCATCCTCGCCGCGTGATGCCTGATGTCACAGAGGTGTGAGCTCTGGCCCTGCTTGGCCCCAAGCTAGATTCAGATGTCCCGCGAAGCGAGCAGAGCATAGCTGGCACGGCTCGGCTCGGATGTGTCAGTGCGAAAAGGAGTTTCTTGTGACAGCATGGCTTCACTCTGTGGTTCTTTCGGTAAAGTCACGTAGGTATAAAATAAAATAAATTTAAATAAATTTAATCACTGGCTTTGTTGATAATTTCAAGGCAACCCTTTCACAGTTGTGTTTATTTTTCTTCTTTCTTTCCCCACAACAGCTGTGGCCGCGTTACCGACTCCACCGTCACAGCTGGAGCAAGAATCTCCAGGTATGGGAAAACGCTGACGTCACAGCCGATGCACTACCTTTGCCCCCTACTGTGCCAACTTGCTGCATTTTATCTCTGCTCGTTGTTGTCTGCTCGTTGTTGCTGGAGGGCAACTGCCTCCAACTACGCCCAGTAGCCTCAACGTACACCTAGCCTGGTATTGCTCAGTAGCATCCTTCATGAGCCTCCTCCTCTACAGAGGCCGATCTTGACACCGTTCGGCTCCACATCCTCCGAGAAAATCTCTTCTCCAGCCCCGTGTTGTGCCCGTTAATACACTACACCAATACCCGCCATTTTGGCACTAAGTGACGGTGATGTCACCACGGCGCCTGTGCCAGGCAAGGTGCACTTTGAGGCCATGTGAAGTGTCAAAGGCTCGCTGACAGGAGGTCACGGGACAAACCCAGCAGGTGCCATGGGCTGGCTGACTGAGATGACTGGCAGATGCACCAGCTGTAGAAACATACAAAAGAACAAAGATCCCCCATATAGCCGTAACAGGCTGTTGGGGCAAGTGCTGTTAGCGAGCACCTATGAAGGCCGGCATGGCACACGAGGGGGCGGGTAGCCATCACCACGCCCGATGGCCTTTGTCTCCCTAGTGGCGATGTTTACACATCACCCCACGTACTCATCTGAGGCTGAGTCGACCTAGGGAAGGCTCAGGACCGGTTCAGTTAATCGTCACTCGTGTCGTTCGTGAGCGGGAATCAACCTCGGGTCGCCAGGTTCATAGCGCAGCGCGCTAACCGCTACAGCACCGCTCCCCACAAGCACCACAGGTACACACACGTGTGAGCATGTGTACACTCGGGGTCTCACGCGTGAACCACCGTTACCTCCCCCCCACCCCCCTAGACAGCGCCGGCGACAACGGACCAGCGTCGCCGGGGGGACCGGCGAGCGACTCCCAGGCGGAGGGCCACGGCACCGGTCCTCCGGCGGCCGCCCCCACGGATTCCCGTCGCGACGACGACCCCGACGACGACCCCAACGACGACCCCGACGACGACCTCACGTACGAGAACGTTTACGACCCCTCCTTCGAGTTCGACCCCAGCCAGGCCGCCGCCGACCAATACCTCTTCAGCCTCGTGCCTCCGACGGTGCCCAACCTGCCGCTCCCTCCGGCGGGCGACGCTGCCCCGTCCGGCGACAACCCCGGGGGAGCGGCCGCCGCTCGGGGCGACGGCGGCGGCGCCGAGAGAGGCGACGGAGGCCCGGGCACGCCGGGGGCGGGTCTAGCGAGCGAGAGCCGAGGCCCGGACGGGGGCGGCGGAACCGCCCCGGGACCGGAGGCGGCACCTCGGCCGGAGGGCGGAAGCCCCGGGGGCAACGAAAAAACGTCCGCGGGGTCGGACACCGAGACGGCCGCGGGTGCCTCCCGGACTCCGACCGCCGACGAGGGCCGGCGAGACGGCCTCACGAGTCCGCCCCAACAGCTGGAGCCGAGCCTCCCGCCGGCACCGTCCCGCCCTGACGGCCCGCCCGGCCAGACGGCGCTGCCGCCGGCTCCCTGGAGCCGGACCCCGGCGCTACCGGCGGCTGCCGACGCGACAGTTCCGCCGGTGGCCGAACCGCCACCGCCACCGCCTGCTACACCCGTCGCAGCGGCGACGGAACCGCTGGCGACGCGCGGGGGGGCAACTGGGGCGGAGGCGACGGTGCTCGAGAGCTCGTCGACGCAGGGGGGGGCGCTGGCGGGCAACGTCGAGGCAACGGTGCCGGCTGCAACGACGGTGACGGCAACAACTATGACAGCAGCAGTAGCAGCAGTAGCAACAACAGTAACAACTGCAGCAGCAACAGCTACAATAGCAGTAACAACTACAACACCTACAGCAACTAGACCAGCAGCAGTAGCAACGGTAGCAACAACAGTAGCAACTGCAGCAGCTACAACTGCAACAACTACAACAGGAGTAGCAGCTGTAACAGCAGTAACAATAGCAGCAGCACCAACAGCAGTCACAACTACAACACCTGCAGCAGTAGCAGCAGCAGTCACACCAGCAGCAGCAGCAGGAGCTATACGTCCAACAGCAACTGCTGCAACAGCAGTACTACCGACAGTGGTGAGGGCAACAGCAGCGACAAGTCCAGCCGCAGCAGTTGCAACAGCAATGACCGGAGCAGCAGGAGCGATTGTACCCACGGCTTTGCTGACCCCTGGGCCTCCGGCTGCAACAGCAGAAGCAGCAGCAGAAGCATCAGGAACAGACGCAGCAGCAGCAGAAGGAGCAGCAGCAGAACGAGCAGCAGCAGAAGCAGAAGCAGCAGCAGAAGCAGCAGCAGAAGCAGCAGCAGAACGAGTAGCAGCAGCAGAAGCAGCAGCAGCAGCAGAATCAGCAGACGCAGCAGCAGCAGAAGCAGAACGAGCAGCAGCAGAATCAGCAACAGCAGCAGAAGCAGAACGAGCAGCAGCAGAAGCAGCAGAAGCAGCAGCAGAAGCAGCAGCAGAAGCAGCAGCATCAGAAGCAGAACGAGCAGCTGCAGAAGCAGCAGCAGAAGCAGCAGCAGAAGCAGCAGCAGAACGAGCAGCAGCAGAAGCAGCAGCAGCAGAAGCAGCAGAAGCAGCAGTAGAAGCAGAACGAGCAGCAGCAGAAGCAGCAGAAGCAGCAGCAGAAGCAGCAGCAGAAGCAGCAGCAGCAGAAGCAGCAGCAGAAGCAGCAGCAGAAGCAGCAGCTGAACGAGCAGCAGCAGAAGCAGCAGCATCAGAAGCAGAACGAGCAGCAGCAGAAGCAGCAGTAGAAGCAGAACGAGCAGCAGCAGAAGCAGCAGCAGCAGAAGCAGCAGCTGAAGCAGAACGAGCAGCAGCAGAACGAGCAGCAGCTGAACGAGCAGCAGCAGAAGCAGCAGCAGAAGCAGCAGAAGCAGCAGCAGAAGCAGAACGAGCAGCAGCAGAAGCAGAACGAGCAGCAGCAGAAGCAGCAGAAGAAGCAGCAGCAGAAGCAGCAGCAGCTGAACGAGCAGCAGCAGCAGAAGAAGCAGCAGCAGAAGCAGCAGCAGCTGAACGAGCAGCAGCAGCAGCAGAAGTAGCAGCAGCAGAAGCAGCAGCAGAAGCAGCAGCAGCAGCAGAACGAGCAGCAGCAGAAGCAGCAGCAGCAGCTGAGATCGAGGCGAGTGCTCAGAGCGGGGAAGGGGGCTCACATCTGGCCCCCCGCGAGTCTCCGGATGTTGCAGGAGACGTTCTGCCGTTCATCAAAGGTGGGTCCCAGAGCTGAATTCACCTCTGTACTAGGATGTGGTGTACCGGGGCTGTGGATTTAAAACTATTTAACTATTTTTGTTTGTATTTGCCAGGTAAGGGCTCACTCAGCCTAATAGCATTTTTATTTTATTTGATAATACTAGCGGCTGCTCCCGTATCAATGAGCACCCTAAGCTCGACACCCTGCACGAAGCCAATAACCGCAGACGATCCCGCCGCCGCCGCCACGACACAATGCACCAACACGGTCCACTGCCCCGTGCCCCACGGCCATCCGCCACCAGCGGAAGTCCGACTTTCGCGCGCCGCGACACGTTCAGGGATGATGGCGTGTGAACCCGACACGATCTGAGAGGGAGAAGCATGAAGTGACTGTGTCAACCGGGTGTCTGAGGCATCGCGGCTTGCCTGTGGGCCCAGGAAAGCGATGGTCGGCAGGGCAGGAGACGACCAAGGCAGGGAAAACAATCCAGGGTCATGTGGCCCCGCAGGCCGCACTTAGAACAAGTGACTGGGAACCTCCACGGTGGAGAGGGGGGGGTCCCACTTCGTCGTTCCCGCTCCCGTCATCGTCCCGCAAACAAAGCGCTTGCACAAGCTCCTGACGCTCCGGCTCAGCCTCGTCCTCCGAGAATCCCGTGCAGGCAGCCACCCCGGGCCACCGCTGTAGGTTGAAATGGGCTTGAATGCATCGGGCTGCCTTCAGCCACGTCAAGTCGTCCTCCTCCGTGGCAGGCAGAGAGACGCTCATCTCCTGGACTAGCGACAGCAGTCTTTCCAGCACCAGAGATTCCAGCGCCGTCTGCGGATACGTGGGGTGGGCCAGCGACAGCAGCCCGCTGCGAAAGGCGAGGGGCGGGTCTAAAATGGCAGCCATCTGGGCGCACGCTTGAGGCAGCATCGCTCTGTCCGCTGCGGGGATGGCATCGAACGCTGCCATGGAGTCGTCATCCATGGTGGTGGGAAGAGCCCGCAGCACCGCCTCATCGGAACACCCGAGAGCCGCTTCTGCAGAGAAGACACCTTCAGGACAAGACGCCGATGGCAAGTCGAATTTGGCGGGAAGCGTTTCCCGCCCAATGGACAAAATGGCGGCCATATTTGGCGCGTTGCTACCGGCGGGCAAAATGGCGGCCGCTTGCGCGTGCTGGGGCTCCGCCGATTCCCGCGCTTGGCCGACGGCGACGGTAGAGCTGCCCGCTCGATGATCCCGTGCTGTAGCTTCCTCGACAGGCGCCTCCACCCTGAGCTGTAGCAACTAGCTCCGTCGCAGCAAAGAGCAAGTCCGCGAGGCGCACGTTGTTCGTGTGCCATCCTTCTCCGGTCGGCGGCAGCGAGGAGTCGATGTCCCTCACACGTTGCTCCGCAGGGATCGCCTTCTCAGGACCAATCTCCGGGGTCCCGGATTCCAGGGCTGTCGGGGGATTCACTTCTCCGTCGTCCTCTTTGCCAGAGGACACAATAGAAGGAGTCTTGTTCTTGGTCGACTTTGACATGTTAAAAAAAATGTATTTAACACTTCTGACTCCAAATGTAGTGACTGATTCAGAGACACTAGGAGTAGGAGGTACTCTATTTATTAACAGCCTTCACAGTTTACAAGAGGTAACTACAGCTCCCAGTCAGGACAGCTGGCAGACTGCCTGCCTGACGACGCCGAGGTGAAGATGTAGATGGCTGCGAAGACTCCAGTGGCACGACGAGGGGATCCCACTCCAAGCAACAGCCCCGAGCCTTTGCTTGGGGTCCCCTTTTATCCTCCCGGCGTGGCCTCGCTCCACCCCAGCCACGCCCCCCTTCTAGAACCTACTAGCGGGTTCCCGGGCTTCCCTCACGTGCCCCCTCTATAACCTTTCCCCTACATCCCTCTCTCTGGCTTATCACGTGACCTGCTGACAGACAGGGCTGCTGCAACTGCAGATCCCCTTCTCTGCCAGCAACCAGCGCTATGCTACGTAGTGACCCATTCCATGTCACTACACCTGCATCAGATTAAAGCAAAAGAAAAAGAAAGTGAGCTGGACTCTCCGAAGATCTATTGCAGATTGAGGACATCCGCAAGACTGCAGTTATCGATAGGGAGCTGGCAAGACTCCATGTGGATATTCCAGCACTGCAGGAGACCCGGCTTGCTGGCAGTGGCTCACTACGAGAGAGTGACTGCACTTTCTACTGGCAAGGAAAACGGCAGAACGAACCAAGACAACACGGCGTTGGGTTCGCCGTCAAAAACACACTCCTTGGCATGATAGAACCACCAACCGCAGGCTCCGAGCGGATTCTGCTCATGAAACTGCTCACTGCTTCTGGCCATGTAAACATCCTGAGTGTCTACGCCCCAACACTCTACTCACCTCCAGAGATTCATGACCAGTTCTATGAAGAGCTTCACTATATTATTTGCAAAATCTCCAGCTCTGAGCACATGTTTCTTTTAGGAGACTTCAATGCAAGGGTTGGGGCGGTCCACGATGCGTGGCCCGCATACCTTGGCTATCATGGCATCAGAAAAATTAATGCCAGTGGCCAAAGACTACTGGAGCTTTGTTCATACCACAATCTCTGTATCACAAACTCAATCTTTCTCACTAAACCTTTCCATATAGTGTCATGGAGACATCCAAGATCTCTTGGCATCAACTGGACCTCGTCATCACCCGACGAGCCCTCCTAAAATCAGTAGTCATCACACGCAGCTACCACAGTGCAGTCTGTGACACCGATCACTCACTGGTATCCAGCAAGGTCAGACTACGCCACAAAAATATACAACAGCTCCGGCCTTGATAGGCGCTGCCTACAAGCTAACAGCACTTGCCCCGACATTCTGTTACAGGCTACACGGGAGATCTTTGTTTTTGTGTGTGTGCGTGTGTGCTATAAACACCCCACAAACAGAAGGAGCTCTCCTGAGCGTGGCCTCGTTCCTGAGGCTCGCCAGGCCCGTGACGCCCCGACAAGCCCAGCCCGGCTCGGACGAGAACCGCCGACTCGCACGCGATGTTCGAGACGCTGTGAGTGGCAAGCCACGCTCACAAAGCACTCTCAAGGGGTCTGGAAGACTCGGCTCCAGGAGACCGGGTCTCAGCATCTTGATACTCGGCTCCAGGAGACCGGGTCTCAGGGTCTTGAGACTCGGCTCCAGGAGACCGGGTCTCAGGGTCTTGAGACTCGGCTCCAGGAGACCGGGTCTCAGCGTCTTGAGACTCGGCTCCAGGAGACCGGGTCTCAGCGTCTTGAGACTCGGCTCCAGGAGACCGGGTCTCGGAAAGATTGTCTTGAGACTTTCGAGCTGACCGCAATCGAGATAAATAACGTTGAGTGTTGTGCTGCACCCCCACGTCACCCAGCTCTGCTTGGTCACTAACATTCCTCGCCACAGGTGGAACCGGTGTACAGAAGCTTGCCTGGGTTCCTGGAGGTGCAAATGAACAACATCAGGTAAAGGCTCACATCCACATCATTTGTTTCTGGTGGCTACATAATTCCAGATAATCCTACAGGAAGACAGACCCTGAGACCCAGTCTCCTGGAGCCGAGTCTCAAGACGCTGAGACCCGGTCTCCTGGAGCCGAGTCTCAAGACCCTGAGACCCGATCTCCTGGAGCCGAGTCTTAAGACCCTGAGACCCAGTCTCCTGGAGCCGAGTCTCAAGACCCTAAGACCCGGTCTCCTGGAGCCGAGTCTCAAGACGCTGAGACCCGGTCTCCTGGAGCCGAGTCTCAAGACGCTGAGACCCGGTCTCCTGGAGCCGAGTCTCAAGACCCTGAGACCCGGTCTCCTGGAGCCGAGTCTCAAGACGCTGAGACCCGGTCTCCTGGAGCCGAGTCTCAAGACCCTGAGACCTGGTCTCCTGGAGCCGAGTCTCAAGACCCTGAGACCCGGTCTCCTGGAGCCGAGTCTCAAGACCCTGAGACCCGGTTTCCTGGAGCCGAGTCTCAAGACCCTGAGACCCGGTTTCCTGGAGCCGAGTCTCAAGACCCTGAGACCCGGTCTCCTGGAGCCGAGTCTCAAGACCCTGAGACCCGGTCTCCTGGAGCCGAGTCTCAAGACCCTGAGACCCGGTCTCCTGGAGCCGAGTCTCAGGACACTGAGACCCGGTCTCCTGGAATTAATTGGAAGAGCAAAAACTTTGCGAATGTTTGAGAAAAGTAAAAAATGAACAGAATAATAATTTTGCATTTCGAGTGTTTTGGCGATGTTGACAAAAAATAACTTTCTTGACTGTGATGCTGCTGATGATGATACTATGATACTGATGATGCTGATTCTGGTAATTCTGATGATGATGCTGCCGATGCTGCCGCTGATGATAATGATGATAATGCTGATGATGATGATGCTGCTGATGATGATGATGCTGCTGATGATGCTGATGATGCTGATTATACTAATGATGCTGCTGCTTCTGAAGCTGATGATGATGCTGATCATGATGCCGATGATGATGATTGTGCCTGTGTAGTCCACCCAGGGATAGCGGCGTGCTGCTGTCCTGATGGATGCTGCTGCTGCTGGTGATGCTTCTGATGCTGCTGCTGCTGATGCTGCTGCTGATGATGTCGCTGATGATGATGATGCTGCTGCTGACGATGATGATACCGCTGCTGATGATGATGCTGCTGATGATGATGCTGCTGTTGCTTCTGATGCTGTTGATGCTGCTGACGATGATGCTGCTTCTGATGCTGCTGCTGATGATGTTGCTGATGCTGCTGACGATGATGCTGCTTCTGATGCTGGTGATGATGCTGCTGACGATGATGCTGATGATGATGATAATTCTGCTGCTGACGATGATGATACTGCTGCTGATGATGCTGCTGATGATGCTGTTGCTGACGATGATGCTGCTGCTGACGATGATGCTGCTGCTGATGCTGCTGATGATGCTGATGATGCTGCCCGTGCGTGCATCCCAGCGACAGCGGGCTGCTGCTGTCTCTCTCCGTGACCTTCGTGGCGCAGCCCGGCGACCTGGCGTCGCTGTACGCGGTGCGCGCGTCGGCCACGCAGCGCACGGAGCGGCCGCGGAGGCCCATCGCCCTCGTGGGCCACAGCGCCGTGCAGCTCGGACTCAGCGGTACGCGCTCGCCGCACCATTCGTCAGCGTCGCCGCTGCTGCTGCCACCGCCGTCACTGCGATCGCTGTCGTCATCACCACTACCATCATCATCATCACTATCATTATCACCACCACTACCATCATTATCATCATCACTATCATCATCACTACCATCATCATCATCACTATCATTATCACCACCACTACCATCATTATCATCATCACTACCATCATCATCATCATCACCACCACCATCATCATCATCACTACCATCATCATCATCATCACTATCATCACCACTACCATCACCACTACCATCATTATCGTCACTACCATCCTTATCGTCATCACTCCCATCATCATCACTATCATCATCCTCACTACCATCATCATCATCATCACTACCATCATCAGCATCACCATCATCATCATAACTACCATCAGCACCACCACCATCATTATCATCACTACCATCATCATCACTACCATCATCACAATTACCATCATTATCATCACTATCATCATCACCACTACCATCATCATCACCACTACCATCATTATCATTACTGCCATCATCACCACTACCATCATCATCATCACAACTACCATCATTATCATCACTGCCATCATCACCACTACCATCATCATCATCACTGCCATCAGCACCACTACCATCATCACCACTATCATCATCATCACTACCATCATCACCACCATCATCATCACTACCATCATCATCAACACAACCATCATCACCACTACCATCATTATCATGACTGCCATCATCACCACTACCATGATCATCATTATCACTACCATTATCACCACTACCATCATTATCATCACTACCATCATCACCACCACCACCACCATCATCACCACTCCCATCACTACCATCACGACTGCCACTATCGTCAACACCGCCACCAAACGAGTGGAATAGCCCGTCATGGCACCATGGTGATGATGATGATGATGATAGCAGCAGAAGTGGTGAGAGGTGATGATGGTGCTGCTGCTGATGATGATAGCAGCAGGAGTGGTGAGAGGTGATGATGATGCTGCTGCTGCTGCTGATGATGATGATGATAGCAGCAGAAGTGGTGAGAGGTGATGATGGTGCTGCTGATGATGATGATAGCAGCAGGAGTGGTGAGAGGTGATGATGCTGCTGCTGATGATGATGATGGAGGATGTTACTGACGCTGCCGATGCTGTTTGACGCCAGGCCACCAGAAACGCCTGTGCGACACGGCGCTCTCTTGCCCTCCGTGGTTCGAGTGCATTGATGGAGGAGGTGGAGGAGGTGGAGGTGGAGGAGGTGGAGGAGGAGGCGGAGGAGGTGGAGGTGGTGGTGGAGGAGGAGGTGGAAGAGAGCGCTGCACGTCGCTGTGCACTCGCGGGTTCTGCAGGAACGGGGGCAGCTGCTCGCACCACGTGGCCCACAGACCACAGTGCAGGTGCCCACTCAACCACTCAACCACTCAACCACTCAACCACTCAGCCACTCAACCACTCAACCACTCAGCCACTCAACCACTCAACCACTCAGCCACTCAGCCACTCAACCACTCAACCACTCAGCCACTCAGCCACTCAACCACTCAACCACTCAGCCACTCAACCACTCAACCACTCAGCCACTCAGCCACTCAACCACTCAGCCACTCAACCACTCAACCACTCAACCACTCAGGCACTCAACCACTCAGCCACTCAACCACTCAGCCACTCAGCCACTCAACCACTCAGCCACTCAGCCACTCAACCACTCAGCCACTCAGCCACTCAACCACTCATCCACTCAGCCACTCAGCCACTCAACCACTCAACCACTCAGCCACTCAACCACTCAACCACTCAACCACTCAGCCACTCAGCCACTCAACCACTCAACCACTCAGCCACTCAGCCACTCAACCACTCAGCCACTCAGCCACTCAACCACTCAACCACTCAGCCACTCAGCCACTCAACCACTCAACCACTCAGCCACTCAACCACTCAACCACTCAGCCACTCAACCACTCAACCACTCAGCCACTCAACCACTCAACCACTCAGCCACTCAGCCACTCAACCACTCAGCCACTCAGCCACTCAACCACTCAGCCACTCAGCCACTCAACCACTCAACCACTCAGCCACTCAACCACTCAACCACTCAGCCACTCAGCCACTCAACCACTCAACCACTCAGCCACTCAACCACTCAACCACTCAACCACTCAACCACTCAACCACTCAGCCACTCAGCCACTCGCCACTCAGCCACTCAGACCACTCAACCCCACTCAACCACTCAGCCACTCAACCACTCAACCACTCAACCACTCAGTCCACTCAACACTCAACCACTCAGCACTCAACCACTCAGCCACTCAGCCACTCAACCACTCAACCACTCAGCCACTCAACACTCAACCACTCAGCCACTCAGCCACTCAACCACTCAACCACTCAGCACTCTCAGCCACTCAACCACTCAACCACTCAGCCACTCAACCACTCAGCCACTCAGCCACTCAACCACTCAGCCACTCAACCACTCAGCCACTCAGCCACTCAGCCACTCAACCACTCAACCACTCAACCACTCAGCACTTCACCACTCACCACTCAACCACTCAACCACTCAACCACTCAGCCACTCAACCACTCAACCACTCAGCCACTCAGCCACTCAAGGCCACTCAGCCACTCAAGCCACTCAGCCACTCGCCACTCACCACTCAGCCACTCAGCCACTCAACCACTCACCACTCAACCACTCAGCCACGCAGCCACTCAACCACTCAGCCACTCAACCACTCACCACTCAGCCACTCAACCACTCAGCCACTCAACCACTCAGCCACTTCAACCCACTCAGCCACTCAGCCACTCAGCCACTCCACCACTCAGCCACTCACCACTCAACCACTCAGCCACTCAAACCACTCAACCACTCAGCCACTCAGCCACTCAGCCACTCAGCCACTGCAACCACCTCAACCACTCAGCCACTCAGCCACTCAAGCCACTCAACCACTCAGCCACTCAACAATCAGCCACTAAGCCACTCAACCACTCAGCCACTCAGCCACTCAGCCACTCAGCCACTCAGCCACTCAACCACTCAGACCACTCAGCCACTCCAGCCACTCAACCACTCAACCACTCAGCCACTCAACCACTCAGCACTCAGCCACTCAACCACTCAGAACCATCAGCCAAGTCAACCACTCAGGCCACTCAACCACTCAGCCACTCAACCACCTAAACTCAGCCACTCAACCACTCAGCCACTCAGCCACTCAGCCACTCAGCCACTCAACCACTCAGCCACTCAGCCACTCAACCACTCAACCACTCTCAACCCTCAACCACTCAACCACTCAGCCACTCAACCACTCAACCACTCAGCCACTCAACCACTCAACCACTCAGCCACTCAGCCACTCAGCCACTCAACCTCAACCACTCAGCCACTCAGCCACTCAACCACTCAACCACTCAGCCACTCAGCCACTCAGCCACTCAACCGCTCAACCGCTCAGCCGCTCAGCCGCTCAACCGCTCAGCCGCTCAGCCGCTCAGCCGCTCAGCCGCTCAACCGCTCAGCCACTCAGCCACTCAGCCACTCAGCCACTCAGCCACTCAGCCACTCAACCACTCAACCACTCAGCCACTCAACCACTCAGCCACTCAACCACTCAACCACTCAGCCACTCAGCCACTCAACCACTCAACCACTCAGCCACTCAGCCACTCAACCACTCAGCCACTCAGCCACTCAACCACTCAGCCACTCAACCACTCAGCCACTCAACCACTCAGCCACTCAGCCACTCAACCACTCAGCCACTCAGCCACTCAGCCACTCAGCCACTCAGCCACTCAACCACTCAGCCACTCAGCCACTCAGCCACTCAACCACTCAACCACTCAGCCACTCAACCACTCAGCCACTCAGCCACTCAACCACTCAGCCACTCAACCACTCAACCACTCAGCCACTCAACCACTCAGCCACTCAGCCACTCAACCACTCAGCCACTCAACCACTCAGCCACTCAGCCACTCAGCCACTCAGCCACTCAACCACTCAGCCACTCAGCCACTCAGCCACTCAACCACTCAACCACTCTCAACCACTCAACCACTCAACCACTCAGCCACTCAACCACTCAACCACTCAGCCACTCAACCACTCAGCCACTCAGCCACTCAGCCACTCAGCCACTCAACCACTCAACCACTCAGCCACTCAGCCACTCAACCACTCAACCACTCAGCCACTCAGCCACTCAGCCACTCAACCACTCAACCGCTCAGCCGCTCAGCCGCTCAACCGCTCAGCCGCTCAGCCGCTCAGCCGCTCAGCCGCTCAACCGCTCAGCCACTCAGCCACTCAGCCACTCAGCCACTCAGCCACTCAGCCACTCAGCCACTCAACCACTCAGCCACTCAACCACTCAGCCACTCAACCACTCAACCACTCAACCACTCAGCCACTCAACCACTCAACCACTCAGCCACTCAGCCACTCAACCACTCAGCCACTCAGCCACTCAACCACTCAGCCACTCAACCACTCAACCACTCAACCACTCAGCCCTCAACCACTCAACCACTCAGCCACTCACCACTCCACTCAACCACTCAGCCACTCAGCCACTCAGCCACTCAACCACTCAACCACTCAGCCACTCAGCCACTCAGCCACTCAACCACTCAACCACTCAGCCACTCAACCACTCAACCACTCAACCACTCAGCCATCAGCCACTCAACCACTCAACCACTCAGCCACTCAACCACTCAGCCACTCAACCACTCAACCACTCAGCCACTCAACCACTCAGCCACTCAGCCACTCAACCACTCAACCACTCAGCCACTCAGCCACTCAACCACTCAGCCACTCAGCCACTCAACCACTCAGCCACTCAACCACTCAACCACTCAACCACTCAGCCACTCAGCCACTCAACCACTCAACCACTCAGCCACTCAACCACTCAACCACTCAGCCACTCAGCCACTCAACCACTCAACCACTCAGCCACTCAGCCACTCAACCACTCAGCCACTCAACCACTCACCACTCAGCCACTCAACCACTCAACCACTCAGCCACTCAGCCACTCAACCACTCAACCACTCAGCCACTCAGCCACTCAACCACTCAGCCACTCAGCCACTCAACCACTCAGCCACTCAGCCACTCAACCACTCAACCACTCAGCCACTCAACCACTCAGCCACTCAGCCACTCAACCACTCAACCACTCAGCCACTCAACCACTCAGCCACTCAGCCACTCAACCTCTCAGCCACTCAGCCACTCAACCACTCAACCACTCAGCCACTCAGCCACTCAGCCACTCAACCACTCAGCCACTCAGCCACTCAACCACTCAACCACTCAGCCACTCAACCACTCAGCCACTCAACCACTCAACCACTCAGCCACTCAGCCACTCAACCACTCAGCCACTCAGCCACTCAACCACTCAGCCACTCAGCCACTCAACCACTCAACCACTCAGCCACTCAACCACTCAGCCACTCAGCCACTCAACCACTCAACCACTCAGCCACTCAACCACTCAACCACTCAGCCACTCAGCCACTCAACCACTCAGCCACTCAGCCACTCAACCACTCAACCACTCAGCCACTCAACCACTCAACCACTCAGCCACTCAGCCACTCAACCACTCAACCACTCAGCCACTCAGCCACTCAACCACTCAACCACTCAGCCACTCAACCACTCAACCACTCAACCACTCAGCCACTCAACCACTCAGCCACTCAGCCACTCAACCACTCAACCACTCAGCCACTCAACCACTCAACCACTCAGCCACTCAACCACTCAGCCACTCAGCCACTCAACCACTCAACCACTCAGCCACTCAGCCACTCAACCACTCAGCCACTCAACCACTCAGCCACTCAGCCACTCAACCACTCAGCCACTCAGCCACTCAACCACTCAACCACTCAGCCACTCAGCCACTCAACCACTCAGCCACTCAACCACTCAACCACTCAGCCACTCAGCCACTCAGCCACTCAACCACTCAGCCACTCAGCCACTCAGCCACTCAACCACTCAGCCACTCAACCACTCAACCACTCAGCCACTCAACCACTCAACCACTCAGCCACTCAGCTACTCAACCACTCAGCCACTCAACCACTCAACCACTCAGCCACTCAACCACTCAACCACTCAGCCACTCAGCCACTCAGCCACTCAGCCACTCAACCACTCAGCCACTCAACCACTCAACCACTCAGCCACTCAGCCACTCAACCACTCAGCCACTCAGCCACTCAGCCACTCAACCACTCAACCACTCAGCCACTCAACCACTCAGCCACTCAGCCACTCAGCCACTCAACCACTCAGCCACTCAGCCACTCAGCCACTCAGCCACTCAACCACTCAGCCACTCAACCACTC